GTCTGCGGGAAAAGCCTTTCTCTGTGCTATCGAGGCCGCGGGGTGCCTGAGCGTGGTCTGGCAACGGCACTAGAACTGGAGTGCGGAGATGGGGGTTAACCGCTCTCCTGGTGCTCTAAGGTTAGGCTTGGTATTTACCTGGGTTGCTCTTTTTGCACTTATTACTGTGTCACTCCTTGGTACATGGCATTCTGCTTCTTCTATGTCCTTTATTGAACCTTGCAAAAAAAGTGGAGACTTTACATATAGAAACATAGAATTGTTTTGGTTAGAAGGGGCTTCTAAAGGTTATCCAGCCCGCCCCCCCGCAGTGTGCAGGGACATCTTCAGCGAGATCAGATTGCTTAGAGTCCAGATGGGCATTTACCACCTCATTGTAAAAAAACTGTCTAATCAAAATTTACCCTCTTTTAATTTAAAACCATTGTTGTTTCTCATATCACATCAGACCCTGCTAAAAAGTCTGTCCCCACCTTTCTTACAAGCCCACTTTTAATACTGAAAGGCGTCTCTTCTCCAGGCTGCACAGCCTCAGCTCTCAGCCTTCCCTCAGAGGAGAGGTGCTCCAGCCCTCTGATCATCTTTGGGGCCTTTTGGACCTGTTCCAGCATGGGTGTCTAATGTGTGTGTTCCTCTTATTGCAGTTCCAAGAAACTATGACCCTGCACTGCATCCCTTTGAGGTTCCACGAGAGTACACAAGAGCTCTGAATGCAACCAAGCTGGAACGTGTGTTTGCAAAGCCCTTTCTTAGCTCACTTGATGGCCACAGAGATGGAGTCAATTGCATGGCCAAACATCCAAAAAGTTTGTCTACTGTGCTGTCTGGAGCTTGTGATGGAGAGGTAAGCTTACAAACTACAGCAAACAGGTACCTTTCTTCCTTATTTTTTATTTCTTTCGTGTTTTGTTGGGTTGTTTGGTTGGTTTTGTCCCCCCTTACTTTTCGTTCGTGTCTTTGTTCGCCTGATGCCTTGTCTGCACTCAGAAGGTGCAACTTTCCCAGTCTGGAGTGGTTTGTCAGACTGCAGGTTGTAATCCCCCAGCACACAGAGGTAGCAGCTTTCAGCTGTTAAGCTGTGAGCAGAGTGTGTGACATTCGGTTCCTCAGGATGGAACAATGATTGCTAATATTTACAGTCCATAGTCCTTGCTTTTTGCTGCCTACATGACCTCCCTCCTCCCCCTGAACAAGTTAATCTGCTGGAGATTAAGAAGGTTGCATGAAGTCAGATGAGCGGGGGGAAGAGGCACACGGCCAAAAACCTTCTGAATAATAATTTATCATATTGCCTAAAAAATGCTAACCTTATGTTTGTTTGATTATTTTATGAAAATATAAATAGCAAGCAAGGACATTTTAATTGGAGACAGTTGCAGGAAAAAATACCTGTGTTTTGTTTTCTTTGTCTTCTCTTGCCCTTACATTGGTGATTTGATAGTACTTGTATATTTTAAAGATGTCTTCTGGATAGCTGTTTGCTTTTTGATTTTTCTAGAAGGTGCACGTCCTGCAGTTGTGTAAGGGAGATTTGTCTTTTCAGAGAGAAGGGGAATAAATTTATATGGAACTTTGGCCAGATTTGTTATCCACTGATAGAGCAAGTAAAGTACTGGGTACTATAAATACATACAAATGTAAAAACTGACCTCCATTTATGTTGGCTTTTTTTTTTTAGATGGGCTCAAATACTTTGAAACTGAAAGCTCTGTGAGAAGTGGACTTACAATACAAAATGTAGTACAGCAACTGGACTGAAATAATTCTATTGGTTCCAAAGACTTTTTTTTGTTTCTTTGTGCTTTTTGTCTCAAGAGGATTTTGGTTTTTTGCTAAAATTTTATCTCCTTCTGTTTTTTAGCAAGAATTCTGGTTCACAGATAAGGGAATGCAAAATGCAGAAAGTATACAGCTTAGGTGAGGGAAAGGGTAAGAAGGAAAGAACATAATTTAACATTTTTCTTTTGCTCTAGAAAGGATAATGAAGTAGGTTTTAACATAGAATCTGTGCAGTGTTCAAGCCAACTCTGCTGTTTCATTATAGCATGTGTGGTCTCTTGTGCCTGAGTTGTGAACTGCAGTTGTGAGCTGTAGAAAACTGACAGAACTCTTCTCTGTTTGTCACAGGTTAAAATTTGGAACCTGACCAACCGACAGTGTGTTCGTACCATACAAGCCCACGAAGGCTTTGTTCGAGGCATGTGTGCCCGTTTCTGTGGCACCTCGTTCTTCACTGTGAGTATAATGTGTCTCCTCAGTACACTGCAGCAGTACAGAGTGCCTGTTCACCATCTGTTTTCCACTGAGGAGCTTGCTCTCTGCCACATGATACTTAAATATTGTATGAATGTGCTTATTAAGTTTGTCAGTGAACACAACAGTTCTGTTGATGTTGAAATTTTTTCTGGTGCTGTGATATAGATGTTATTTGAGACTATTGAAGGGGTAGATACCAAAAAGCAGCTAACAGATGGTCATGTAATTAAAATCTGAGCAAAGCAGTTTTCATTAAAGTAGTAAATAGCTTATGTCTGTTGCAAGATGTAGAAACATGTAAAAAAGTAGCCATTTGCATATACTGTGAATAAAGCTAATCTGATTAGCTCAGGATGGTTCCTTGTGAATTAAGCTTTATTAACTTTTATCAACCACAACAGATTCAGCTGCATGTAAACTGTCTGAAAATAGCATGTCTTCTTGTTTTCATTGAAACAGTTCTAAAACAACACGATAAAAATAATTGTTTTGGAGAGCTAGACCTTCCTGAGGTCTTGCTTCTTTTGGCCAAAAAAGACCCATTTTCACTACAGTATATTTATCTTTTCTGAAGTGTATAGCAGGTCCTAAGGACAGTAGTTAAGATACAGGGAAGTCATGGCAAGAATTTCCAAGTGGCTCCAAATTAGAATCCTCTTTTGTCAGTCTTTTTGCCTGAAAATTGAGAGAGGGAAAGAAGAAACAGCAGTAGTACAGTCAGGGGAAGAGGAAAACTTGTAGAGCTCACATTATTTTGGGGCCTGTTTGCCTGATCCAGGTCACTGAACAGCCATGCAAAAGCTTGTGCTGGCATTAGTGCAGGAGGTAGAACAGTGTTTGGAACAGGGAACTGGAGCAGCTGAGGTGGAAACTGCCTTTTAACTGTTTACATGCTCATCAAAGTGACTTCCAGAAGATAATTTGCAGTTAAAGGTGCCAGCTGATTAAAAGTCACAGAATATGGCCTAAAAAAAAAATCATCATTCCAGCTCACATTTTTCCTATTCAGCCCTGGAAATAGCTCTTTTGGAACCTAAAAGCTTCGTGGATCAAAATAGACGATTGAATAGGTGAAGGAAAGGTGATGGTGGTGGTGGGGAACAGTGACAAACTGGAAATCAGGTACCTACTTTCACAAGCAGACAGATCCCCAGATGATCTCTGAGCAGCAGCCACTGTGGGAGCCAGTCCCCATCTCCCCTGCTTCCACTACCAGCTTTTATTGCTGAACATGATGTTCTATGGTATGGAATATTCCTTTGGCCAGTTCAGGACATCTGTCATGCCTGTGTCTGTTGCCCACACCGAGCCTGTTTGCTGGTGGGGAGCGCAGGGATGATGACTGACAGAGTGGGAGCAGGGGGAAATGCCTTGACACCATGGAAGCATTGTTCAGCAATGCTTTGGTGCTTTATCAGCACTGTTTGAGCCACAGTTCCAAAACATAGTGCCAGATGGGCTGCTGTAATGAATAACTCCACTCCAGCCAGACCGTGTACATGGACCTTCTCAGTTTCTAGCAAACTATTATGACCAGGAGAGCTAATCTGCGGTTAGGAGCTAGAAAGGAGAACAGCTAACAGGCAGGTGAAAGCACTTCTGTGTACATCCTAGAACACGTTCTCTTGAAAGGCTGCCTGTGTACAATTGCAAAGCACATCTAGAAAAATAAACAGAATATATTTACATAAAACTGGACATTCTCTCTCCAATGTTTCCAGGTTGGCGATGACAAAACCGTGAAGCAGTGGAAAATGGAGAGCCCGGAATATGGAGAAGAAGAGGAACCTATTCATACAATTCTTGGAAAGGTTTTGATT